GAACTCACAGAGATCCGCCTGCCTCTGCCTCCCGAGTGCTGGGATTAAAGGCGTGTGCCACCACCGCCCGGCAAATGCCCATAATCTTATCACTGAGGAGGTGGATGCAGGAGGATCGGGAAAGAGTTCTATCATCCCCCAGCTACGTGGCCAATTTGAGGCAATCATGGATGGTATGAGATGCTGTCTACTATCACCCCCAAAAAACTATATTTAAACTTTTTATTTATTTATTTATTTATTTATTTATTTATTTATTATTAAAATAGCCACTCCTATCAGTAGCAGGCTGTCTCTACAATGGCCTCCAATAATATCAGCCGTCTGATGTTCAGACCCTCCTATTATCCCTTCCTCTTAAGGGCCAGCTGGCCCCAGTGACTTCTAAGTGACTCTAAACGAAGGAGGACACAGCAGAAATGATGGGACGCCACTTCTCACATTGGGCACAGAAAGACTGTGGCTTCCATCTTGCTTTCCCTTGCGTCCTCCTTCATTTCTTCCCTGACAGAGGCTGCTAGGTCATGAGCTGCATCATGGAAAGGCCTACCTGACGAGGAAATGAGGGCCTCCGACCAGCAGCCAGTGAGAAACTGAGGTCCGCAGACCACCAGCCCAAAAGGAACGGAATTCTGCCTCCAACCAGCAGCCAGTGAGAAACGGAGGTCCGCAGACCACCAGCCCAAAAGGAACGGAATTCTGCCTCCAACCAGCAGCCAGTGAGAAACTGAGGTCCGCAGACCACCAACCCAAAAGGAACGGAATTCTGCCTCCAACCAGCAGCCAGCGAGAAACTGAGGTCCGCAGACCACCAGCCCAAAGGGAACGGAATTCTGCCGTCAAGCACTTACATGAGTCTGGGAAAGAACTTGCTCTCTCCCTGTACTGAGTCAACTTCAGACAAGCCTAGCTGGTACCCAACTCCAGTAAATGATGGAGTAATTTATAACGTAGCGATAAATAATTAATATACCATCAAAATTTTTAATATGAAGGCATGAATAATTTTAACTTTGAACCATCCTAAATTACCAAACCCAGTCTATGCAGACAAGAGCTTCTATTTGACTAGACACCCACAAAAATAAAACTTTCTCTGTTCAAATTTACCAGAAAATTGAAAGATTTTTTTTACAAATTAGCTTCAGGTTCCCGACTTTTATTTTATTTTAGTCTATTAATTTTGGGTTCCCTACTTTTTTTTTTTTTTTTTTTTTTTTTGGTTTTTCGAGACAGGGTTTCTCTGTGTAGCTTTGCGCCTTTCCTGGAACTCACTTGGTAGCCCAGGCTGGCCTCGAACTCACAGAGATCCGCCTGGCTCTGCCTCCCAAGTGCTGGGATTAAAGGCGTGCGCCACCACCGCCCAGCGGGTTCCCTACTTTTAAAAACCTTGTTTCACTGGGTGTGGTGGCACATGTCTTTAGTTCCAGCACTCGGGAGGCAGAGGCAGGCAGATCTCTGTGAGTTCGAGGCCAGCCTGGGCTACACAGAAAGTTCCAGGACGGCCAGGGCTACGTAGAGACACCCTGTCTCGAAACACCAATAAAAACTTGTTTCTCCTTTGTTGTTCATGTAGTTCACCTCAGGTCACGCACTCTTGCCCTGCACGTTTATTTCATCCAAACAGGCGGGAAGGCGAACCCCCAGTCTCTACTGCAACAGTGCTCCCCCGCAGATTTGTGTTTATTTATCACACGTGTAGGGGGTACACATGTTACAGCACAGACGTGGAGGTCAGAGGAAAGCTTGGCAGAGTTGGTTCTCCTTCTTCCTCTACATGGCTTCCGGGGATGCCGTCAGTCTTGCACAGCACGCATTTTTGTTATTTTGTTGTTATTTATATAGTTACTTACTTTATGTGTCTGTATGTCTGAGTGTATGTATACATACCACGTGCGTGCAAGAGCCTGTGGAGGTCAGAAAAAGTGCCGGCTCCCCTGGAACTAGAGTGACAGGCCGTTGTGAGCCGCCATATGGATGATGGAAACCGAACCCAGGTCCTCTGCCAGAGCAGCAAGCTAACCACTGAGCAATCTCTCCAGCCCATGAGCACGCGTTTTTACCTGCCAAGTCATCTTGATGGCTCAAGACTTCATCAAGTTCGTGAAACCCAATGGTTAAGATTATCAAGAGTTTGGGGAGGCAATTATTAAACACTACCATTTGAAAACTTTAAATTACATGCTTATAATTAAATGATACAAAAGATGCATTTTAAAACATAAGTATCCCAAACATATCACTTCCACATTATTTCACTGTACTTAACTATAACCTTGCTCTTGGGTTTATTTACTTCTCTTTAGAATGGAGATGCTTCAGAATGGTGTGCTGCCCTTCCTAACCCCTCATTAGTGATCTCACAATGACAGTTTGGAATAGTCCATGGTAGAACTATTTACACCATGGGGATTGGCAAACCTGATCATAAACATTTATTGGTTGTCTCAGTTTGTTTTCCGTTGCTGTGATAAAAACACTGGCCAAAAGCTAGCTGAGGAGGAAAGCACTTATTTTACCTCCTAGGGTACAACCCATCATGAAGGGATGCCAAAGCGGGAACTCCAGGCAGGAGCTGAAGCAGAGGCCGTGGAAGAATGCTGTTTGCTGACTTGCTTCCTGTTGCTCCCTCCGCCTGCTCTTTTATAACTTCCACCATCAAATGTCCAAGGGTGGCACCACCCACAGTAAGCTGGACCCTCCCACATCCATCATTATTCAAAAAAAATGCCCCAAAGGCCAATCTAATGGAGGCATCCTCTCAGATGACCCACACTTGTGTCAGGTTGACCACAGCTAACCAACGCACGTGTATACCCCCTGGTAGCCAACTGCTCTGGGACAGCTAACAGTAGCATAACTCTAGACTGATCCTCCTGCAAACTATAGAAACATGTTGCATAAAACCTAACCAAAACGATAGTTGCTCCAGTTGCCCTTAGCTGGATGTCCACAGTGCCTTTTGTTATTCCAATCTCACTCAACTGTGGGATAGGTGGTGTAGAAAGGGAGTCGGAATGGAGTTTTACACAATTTCCATTCAAATGTTTTGAAACAATTTCCTTTTACGTTTTATTTAGAGAGAGTGCATGTATGCATGCACGCATGCACACATGTCATGGTTTGTGGGTGGAGGTCAGAGGGCAACCTATGTCCTCTCCATCTAACATGTGGGTCCCAGGGATCTCAGGTCCTTAAGCTTGGTGGCAGATGATCCTGCTGATCCATATCTCCAGCCCAGAAACAATTTTAAGTAGCACGATGTATACACATTGCTAGGCCCCGCCTAGGGCACTAGGAGATGCCACAGTAAATCTAGGGCCCTGACAACTAGGTTTCATTTACTTCATGATACACTTCTCCCTGTTCTGGAACCTCAGGAGCGTCTACTGACCCCTCAGTGGTTCCCGCAGGAGTGGAGGCACAATGGAGTGGGAGAGAGCGTGTGCTAGACACACTTCTGTGTTCACATGGGTGGGCTCTCAGGGTACATACACTTTCTCTGTCCATTCTTCCTCGTGTTCCTATGTGAAAGGAATTGCCCCTATGGCTTCTCTTTTTTACTCTGAGAGGCCCTCATCCTTCTTAGAGGCTATACTCTCAGTCTCTTGTCTTAACACTAATTTTTCTAAAATTTTATGTGCATTGGTGTTTTGCCTGCATGTATGTATACGTGAAGATGTCAGATTCCCTGGAGCCGGAGTTACAGGCAATTGTGATTGGCCATGTGGGTGCTGGAAATTGAACCCCGGTCCTCTGGAAGAGCAGCCAGTGCTCCTAACCTCTGAGCCACCTCTCCAGCCCAAAGGTTTTGTTTGTTTGTTTGCCTGCTTGCTTTGTTTTGTTTTAGTACTAGAAAAGAAGGTAAATAAATATAAGCTGGGCAGTAGTGGCATATGCCTTTAATCTCAGCACTCCAGAGGCAGAGGCAGGAAGATCTCTGAGTTCGAGGCCATCCTGGTCTACAGAGAGAGTTCCAGGACAATCAGAGCTACACAGAGAAACCCTGTCTCAAAAAACAAAAAAACAAACAAACAAAGGAAGGTGGTAAATACAGCAGTGAGCATTTCAAAAGCTATCATTCTTCGATGAAACTATGATGCGGAAATCCATCTAGAATAATGATCAAGGTCAGCACCACATTGGGAATTTGCAAAGAAGCTAATTTCAAGTTAAAGTGACAGTACTGTCCAGAAGTGGCATTATCTTCTCCCGAAAGAGCCCTCCAAAACCCAGTGCATTCAAAGGGAACTCAGTCGTCTAAGGACCACGTCCAAGCAGAAGCTGGAAATCTACTCTACAGATAAGTGCATACAGGGTAAGCTGTGTGTGTGTGTGTGTGTGTGTGTGTGTGTGTGTGTGTGTGTGTGTGTGAGAGAGAGAGAGAGAGAGACAGAGAGACAGAGAGACAGAGAGAGACAGAGAGCATATGGTACATGGGCTTACATGTGCCTATGAAGGCCAGAGATCAGGTATCTACATTGATTGCTCTCCACCTTATCTTTTGAGACAATGTCTCTCACTGAACCCAGAGTTCACCAGTCAGCTAGACTGGCTGGCCAATGAAACACACTCGCAGCCCCCCATGCTGGGATTATAGATACACGCCACCATGCCTGGCTGAACTATGTCCTTAGACTGACACAGGGGGCACTTCACTGACTGAGCTCTCTCACCAGTGCCCAGATAAGGTTTGTTTTCAAATTACAACTATTTATGTACATGTGCATGTGCGTGCGTGCATGTGCGTGTGCGTGTGTGCACGCACAGGTATGTATGTGACATGGTGCTCAGGTGGAGGTCTGGGGACAGCTTGCAAGAATTGGTCTCCCCTTGCACCGTGGGGTTCCACAGATCAAACTTAGATCACCAGGCTTAGCGGCAGGTACCTTTTACCACTTACCCATCTTGCTGCATGGTAAGTTTTTTTAATAAGATGATGTCCAGAGCTGTGTCTAAAACTAGTCTCAATAGCCCTAGCCAGTCTTTTACATAAACAGTGTCATCCGGAATGAATTGCCACTCAAGGTCTACTTCACAACCTAGAGTGACTGTTAAGTACTTTTCCTTTACATTCTTATCTGGAAAAGATCTGACATGATTGAAAGACAAAACAAAAACAAAAATTCCCTAAGAGCCAAGATTTGAAATTGAAGAAAAAAAAAAATCTACAGATCTCAACATGAAATGATCCAAAATAGGCAATTTAATTTTCACATCTTTTGGAAAAATACTGAGTCATATTGCCCACCCACATCTTGCAAAAATAACAGAAATTCAGTAATTCAAGCAAGATACACTCTGTCATTGTCTGAAGCAAACACTTGAGTCATTCCGGAAAATGAGGAGCGAAGTCTCTTCAGTGACCAAAGTTTAGGTTCCATATCCCGAGGAAAATTTTGCAAGGCGTTCTTTTCGGTCCCAACCGTGTGTGTTTTTTTCTTGAACCACAGATACCTCCGAGCCAGATACTGTCCCCTTTCATGAGAACAACGACTGTCATGTGTTGAACAGACTCCGGTGAATGGGCTGTGTCATTCACTCAAGCAAAGCCCCACGCCAAGTCTGACCGGCAGTGATTAGGACTCCATCAACCGTCCTTAGGGAGCAGGCCCAATAGCCCAGGACAAAGGCTGGGAAAGGCTCCTACAGGCCCGGCAAGCCGCAGGACAGATGGGGGCCACACCTCCTGGCTCTCCCAGCTCCCCTCCTCCTGCACACGGGCCTCCTTTCTGTTCCCCACCGCGGCAGCCTAGCCCTGCCCTCTCATTGTTCTCTCTGCCCTCCTGATCCCAGGAGCGCCTTTCTTTCTCCCTACAGGCTGCCAGGGGTTTCCTGTACATCATCGTGTAGCCGTATCCAGGGGCAGAAACAGCTCCCTTCATGTTTGATCCGTGGAAAAATGAAAACAAAAACAAAAGGAATTCTGCAGAAGCCGTCCCGAGCCTGTCGGTCTGGAGGGAGCAGACCTGGCCTTCTCCTTCTTCCATGAAGCACTCGGGTGCCTCGGTTTCTCCCTTCTCCATCACTCTCCAACCCCTGTGTTGTAATTTGCATCATCTGCATGGTTCCCAGAATGTAGCCTCCTGGCTACTGAGCGAGGTCCTGATGCTCACTCTCACAGCCCCAGACAGACAGCAGTGACATCCATTCTCTTAGAATACTTGGTTGATGGTCACAGCACACACACACACACACACACACACACACACACACACACACACACACACACACACACACACCATTGTCTCTGCGTTTATCACAACCAAATCTGCCAGGCCGTTTCTCTTCAGCCCCTTCACCTGATGTCTTTGCTGACTCCTCCCCAGACAGGAACCCGATTAAGTTGGCCTAAGCAGGCGCATCTACCTGTATAAAATGCTCACACACACCCTCACCCATCTCTCTGTTGGTTGAAGTCTCTTACAGCAAAACTCAGGGCCAGCTCCTCCATAAAGCCCTAATGAGTTTCTTCAGCAGGGAGATCTCATGGTGCTTCCCTGGAGTTTCTCATCCTACCTGACCAACCGGATTGTCCTTGGCCCTCCTGGATAGAGACCGCTAATTAATTTTGCTATCCCTACATAATCCTTTCAGGCAAGCTTCTATCTCTGAGCTATATCTCCAGCCCCAGACACATAACCTTTCCAACGTGATACTGTGCTTGTCATTTAATCTGGGTCATTTTTTTGTATCTTTAATGTCTATATTTATCAAGTTCATTCTTTCCTGCATTTTTAAGTATATGAAATATATTTACTATATTAATTCTGAGTCTGATTCTACTGATTCATTTTTCTTCTCAACATGGGTCATATTTTCTTGTGTGTGTGTGTTTCTTTGCCAGGTAATAATTTTTTAAAGCAAAATTTTAAATTTATTTAACTTCATTTTATGTGCATTGGTGTGAAGGTATCAGATCCTCTGGAACTGAAGTAACAGACAGATGTCAGCTACCATGTGGGTGCTGGGAATTGAACCTGGGTCCTCTGGAAGAGCAGCCAATGCTCTTAACCACTGAGCCATCTCTCCAGCACCTCCCCTCCCTAATAATTTTGTTTGGAGGCTAGACATTGTGGCTTTTACATTATTGGGTTAGGATTGAGTGTTTCTTTTATTATTTTTATACTTAAATTACTTAAAAGTAGTCTGAATCCTTGAGACTTGTTTTTAAGCTTTGTTAATTATTTTTTTCTTTAAAAACTGTTATTTCATGTGTGGGGTGGTTTTCCTACATGTATGTCTGTGCACTATGTCTTTGCCTTGCACCTGCAGAGGTCAGGAAAGGGTGGTGGACCCCCCAGGAACTGGAGTTACAGACAACTATGAGCTGCCATGGGGGTGCTGGGAATCAAAACTCTTGAAGAGCAGCCAGTGCTCTTACCCCTGAGCGAACCCTCCAGTCCCTTAAGTTTTGTTTAGCAGGTTCCGAACAGCCTAAAGACAGAGGTACTTCAGACCCAGCACTTAGATATGCCGCTCTAAGGTCCCTTCTTCGGGGCCCACACTTCCTCTCCTGCAGGCAAAAGCAAAAACTAAACCAGTTCCAGTTCCCAGCTCTGGAGCGGGTTCTTCCTCTTTTGCAATGATTTTCACCAGACTTTGGATGTGTCCTCATGTGTAAGCACTGATCAGAACTCTCACAGGAAGAGTCATGAGAAGTCCTCTACAGATCTTGTGATCTTCAGAACACGCACACATGCGTGCAAGCATGCACGTGAGCACACACCACCTCATTTCTACACTCGTGAGGCTTTCCTCTCTCTGTTATTCAACTCCGTTATTCCAGCCCACTTTGGGCACCTCAAAACCTGAAGTCTGATTCCTCGACTCAAGGACGCACGGCTCCACTTGTCCTGTCATCATCCTCCCCCACACACACATACATATGCATGTGCACACACACACACACACACACACACACACACACACACACACACACGCACGCGCACACGCACTCACGCGCATGTGCACGCACACACATACATATGCACACATACATACACACATGCACACACACATGGACACACACACACACACACACACACACACACACACACACACGCCTGAAAATCTTCAATCCCCAGAACCTACAGTGGAAACAGAAAAGGAACTCCTCCACACGTATGGCATAGTACATGTGTGTCCACACCCAAACACACACAGGCATTGATTAAGAGATAAAATTAGATCTAAATTAAAGATAAATTTTATTTTTCTAATTTTAAAATTAATATTCTTATCACAGAAAATAACTGCAGAAGGGGGAAACAGTTTATATGGCTCTCATCAGTTTGCTGTGCAATATTGCTCTCTTTATGAATGCATGTATAGAAATGTATTTAATAGTAGTAGCAGTATTGCTTACTGAATGTGGGCTAGGGTTGTTTTAGTTGTTGTTGCTTTTTTTGTTTGTTTCATATTTTATTTATTTGTTTGTAAGTTTGGAGACTGGATCTCACTGTGTAGTCCTGGCTGGCCTGGAACTCACTGTGTAGTCCAGGCTGGCTTCAAACTCACAGAGATTCTCCAGCCATTTTGTTTTTTTGAGACAGGGTCTCATGTAGAGCTGAACTCACTATGTAGCCAAGAATGTGCTTGAACTTCTGATCCTCTGTCTTCATTTCCCGAAAGTTCTCAGATTGCAGGCATGTGCTACCATAATACAGTTCACGTGGTGCTGGGAACCAAACCAAGACGTGCTGCATGCTAGGCAAACACCACGGACGAGCTACATCCCTGGCCCATGTTTTTTGATTAGCATATAATACATGGGCTTTATGATGACATTTTCATGCATACTTTGTTATTGTTGATACTCCTCAATCAACACTTCCACTTCCAGCAATCCCCTTTCCACTTGGATGTCACAGTAATTTTTGAAGATTTATTTATTTATTTATTTATTTATTTATTTATTTATTTATTTATTTATTTATTTATTTATTTATTTATTTATTTTATTAAGTGTATGAATGGTTTTCCTGCACGCATGTATGTGCATGCATGTATGTGTGCTATGTGAGTGCCTGGTGCCGTGGAGGTCAGAAGATGCAGACAGATCCCCTCAATCCCATACAACTGGGGTTACAGACCCTTGTGAGGCACCATGTTGGTATTAGGACCCGAACCTGGGTCCTCTGCAAGAACAGCAGTGCTCTTGACCACTGGGCCATCTCTGCAGCCCCTCACGGTGCATTAAACAGACCCTTGCAGTAAATCACAGTGAGCTGGTGCTGCTGGGGTAGGAACCACACAAGAATTCTCAGCGATTCCCCTCTACTCCTACGTGGGAAACCAGAGCGACTTGGCAGGGAGAGGGAGCGATTCGCACCCAGGCTTTAAGACACACCTTGAGGAGCTCCAACAGTAAAGCCTGATGAAATGTGAGCCCAAACCTGACCCGTTTTTGAGGAGTGTGCTGCAGGCCGTAAAGCCTCTGGAAATCCCCAGGGTAAAAATGACTCGCAGGCTAGATGGCGCTGGAAAAGGAACCTTGTCACACCCAAGTGAGTCTAGTGGGAAGTGGCTCTGGAAGGAGGGGAGACCGGTCTGAGGGGTCGGTGGAGCCAGCCTTCCTGGCGCTCTGTCACACCTACCGTGGTGGGAAAGGAGGCTCCGATATAACTCCTCAGCCTCATGGGCAAAATGCCGTGCGCTCCCTCCTCGCTCTGTGCCCCGCTCACCCGAATGTATGAATACCGTGATAGAATAATGACTAATTAGTAATAGAAGATTTCTGAGGAGCCGGATCTTTTTCCGGAAAGTTCTGTGCTTCCATCATGGATTCACCCCAGCAGAGCATTTTGGGAGTGCTACCCACCTGGGGGTCTGAAAAATGTGGTTGCAGGGAGTGTGGAAGGAAGTTCAAGGGTCAACCAGTGGAAATAGAAGAAACCATCTTGTGAGAAAAACCAATGAATCTCTGAAAAATACAGGAAAGAGAGAGAGGGAAGCAGACAGAGGGAAGGGCAAAGGGAGAGGGGTCTGGAGGAGAGGAACGGACGAGATAACAGCGTGTCCTCCTGCACCATGGCTGGAAGGACACAGCCAAGCCGCTCAAGCCGAACAGGCTCAGTCAGAGACGGAAGGAAATGTTAAAATGGATAACGCGGGGCCTCATTCCTGCTGATGGGGCCAAGGCCGCTGCTTCCTGCCTGAGTCTCTTCTCAGGCATGGAAGGCAGCCAGGATGCTCCAAGATTCAGTGCCCAGGCTTGGTGTGTTAGAGTCTAGAGTTCGCACCCCAGCCCTAAAGACTGACATCAGTCTGACCTTGAGACGGCAAGGTGTGACCAACTCAACATCCTAAGGCTGGGGAACGTAGCTCGTTTGGTAGAGTGCTTGCCTGGTCTTCACAAAGCCCTCGGTTTGACTCCCCAGTACCACGTAAACCAGACATGCCAGTACACACCTGTGATCTCAATACTTGGGAGGTAGGCACAAGAGAATCAGAGGTTCAAGCTCACCTTGACTATATCATGAGTTCCAGGCAATCCTGGGCTACATGGAACTCTGTCTCAAATAGAAGAAGAAGAAGAAGAAGATGCTGTGTTTGGAGTTGTAGTTCACGTGTCTGGCATATGCAAGGCCCAGGGCTCCACCACAGCAACACTCTCACACACACTGAAGATATGGTGATTGTATTGGCTGGTTTCTTGTGTCAACTTGACACAAGCTGGAGTCATCAGAGGAAGGAGCCTCAGCTGAGGAAATGCCTCCTTGAGACCCAGCTGTAAGATATTGTCTCACTTAGTGATCCATGGGGGAGGGCCCAGCCCATGGTGGGTGCTGGGTTCTATAAAAAGGGGGGCTGCCAAGCCGGGGGAAGCAAGCCAGTGAGCAGCTCCCTTTCATGGCCTCTGCGTTAGCTCTTGCTTCCAGGATCCTGCTCTGTTTGGAGTTCCTGTCCTGACTTCCTTCAGTGATGAACAGCAATGCTGAAGTGTAAGCCTAATAAACCCTTTCCTCCCCCGCTTGCTCTTGGGTCATGGTGTTTCCTCGCAGCAATAGAAACCCTGACTAAGAAGTGATGATGAAACAATCGTTTCTTGGGGAGAAAGAGAACAGAAAGATTTAAGAAAAAAAGAAAAATAGATGTATTTCATGGGAGATGTATGTAAGTGCCTCTATTTTGTAATACTGGGGATTGAACCCAGGACCTAGGTGCATGGAGGCAAGTGGTTTTTTTGTTTTGTTTTGTTTGTTTTTGTTTTTGTTTTTATTTGTTTGGTTGGGTTTTTTTTGAGACAGGTCTCACTAAGTTGCCTCACTAAGTTCAGGCAGTCCTGAAACATGATTCTTCTGAGTTCCCAAGTGGCTGGAATTACAGGCCTGTGCCACCAGCCCCAGTTCAAAAACATCCATTAGCAGCTAAAGCAGCAGTTTTCAGCCTTCCTAATACTGCGACCCTTTAATACCGTTCCCCATGTTGTGGTGACCCCCAGCCACAAACAATAACATTATTTTTGTTGCTGCTTCATAACTGTAAATTTGCTACTGTCATGAATCATAATGTAAGTATCTGTGGTTTCCGATGGTCTTAGCCAACCCAAAGGGGTCTTGACCCACAGGTTGAGATTCACTAACCTAAAGTCACTTTCATGTTTGGACACACTGAAAGGCACCACATGGAATGTTTTACCTGGCAAATGTAAAAACACAGCTTTGCTGGTCTCTTTATGCACCTGTCTATCATCTGACCATACAGATTTCCTCCCAGTTGTGAATGGAGCTGCAAGGTGCTGAGAATCTTAAGTGTCATGTTTTGCCTAG